CTGTCTCCGAAGGAGCTTGGGAGCAAGGCCACTTCTCTGTGGCAACTCACTGCAGTGCTCCATTTGATGTTTAGGCTCAGGTCAGTGGGGGACAGACAGACAGACCAATCTACAATGGTGGCACCTCAACTGCTTCCTATTCAAGCTGCTGCTTTATCTGTCCAAAAAGGAAGTGCGCGTGGCAGGCAGGACTGGCCTTCAAGGTCCCACCTCCCAGGAGCCATGCAGGTGGCACTGTTATGGCCACTTGATGTTTGAAGCATGTCGACAACAGGCATTTTGTGTACCCTGGCATTTAGGGAATTTTTTGGAGTGAAATCACCATAATAAAAGAAAATTTAAAGATAAAGATTTTTGCTCATTTCTATTAAAACTTCCACGGGTGTTGTAAGATGCTCAGAGAATTCTCTTTGTGGGAATTTGAGAAGGACAAATGTTGGTGTGCACGAGAGAATTAAGACAAATGATAATTGAAGGAGATGATAAATGCTAGTGGTTTCCATGGGGAAACCAATAAGAATACTGCTTTATGTGAAATCTTTTCTAAACAGCTCCTCCAAAGCATTAAGCCAGAGCGCTTCTGACGGTCTCTGTTTGAGAGATGTTTCGATTCCATTCCATCTGAGATGCTCAACTGCCATTCTTCACTGCTCTGGCTGTTGTGCTCTGCTTCTCTGTGGTCCACACTCAGCTGGAAATGAGAAATATCAGGTTGCAAGGATGATGCTATTTGTGGAAGCTTAAGATAAATCTATAGTGTCCCCGTATTGATCCACCCTATGGATTCCTAATTATTGATCTGTGAAGTTACTTCTGTGTGTTAGCCTAGGTTAAAAGCTACTCCTGTGTTTAAGGCGTCTCTTGAGTGACGCTGGAAAGAACTTTGATGTGCTTTTGGGCTTCCTCTGCCTTTATATCTTCAGGCATTTATTTTGGAGTAACAGGCAGGTTGTTTCGCCTCTCTGTGCCCCCACTGTAGCCTGTAGAGATTTCTGTCAGAGCCTCTACTGCTTTCATGCCTATGGGTTTACAAAGCTGTGGCCTATGTCACATTGTAACACAGAGCCCAGCAGGAGGCACAAATGGCCACTGAATGAATGAATGGCTCCTTGGTCAAGTCTCACTGCCTCTTTCCATGAGATACAGCACAGGAGGCCTTCTGTTCGCCCCTGCAGGCCCAATTTCCACCCTGCTGCCCCTACTCTTCCCCTGCCTTTGAGGGGCCAACCCGCATGGACCAATCACAGCCTGCCCTTCCCCACCTTCCCTTTGGGCTTGGCAATAGAAGATAGGAGATTGGTGGGTGGGTTTGGGATGGGGCATGTAATAGGAGTGGCTGTGTTCAAAGGCCAATCAAAACTCTCCTCCAGAGTTACCCTCAGGCTTCTAAGGGCTCTCTGGTGCTTCCAGACACAGGTATTGCATTATTCCTTATTGGTCTCATTTAGGCCTGCCCACACCTTTGAAAATAATCCCTTTGTTAAATTCTTTCAAATCAGCCAGTTTGAATGAGCCCATTGAGTCCTGCTGGAACCCTACTGATATTGCCCAAGTCACTCAGATGACAGTATTGGCTACAATCTAGAAATTATAAGAGCAGAAAGGTGTGATAACTTTTTCTTACTCATCACAAGCATCACGGTCAATACCCCATCAAAAAGATTAACAAGAGAAGAGCATATAAATTTTACGGGACATGGGAGCCATCAGAAATGAAGACCCAAAGACCCAGGGAACATGATCTATTTTAATGCTTATGTTTGATGAAGAATGGTCAGATGTGTTGACATGTGACTGGACAAAACGTGTGCAATCTGATAGTAGTAGACTAAGGGAGGAAACCTGGCACGGCTTGGCTGTTTAGATTCTTTTTGGCCTCTTTGTGAAGTATTCTTTCCTCCCTGTATAGACCAGGACCCCTCTGGAATGAGGTTCTTCACTAGAAGGGATTGGCCTTTCTAGGTTTTATGGCATGCTTTAGAAAGAGAGGTTCAGCTGGGCTCGGTGGCTCAGCCTGTAATCCCGCGCCTTTGGGAGGCTGAGGTGAGTGGATTGCCCGAGGCCGCGGGTTCGAGACTCGCCTGGGCAACTTGGCGAAACCTCATCTCTACAATAAATAAAAAATTAGCCAGGCGTGGTAGCGCGCACCTGTAGTTCCAGCTATTCGGAAGGCTGAGGCAGAAGGATCGCCGGAGCCCAGCAGGTCGAGGGTGCAGTGGCCGGGAGCAGCCACTGCACTCCAGTCTGGGCGACAGAGTGAGACTCCAACTCAAAAAAAAAAAGAGAGAGGTTCTACTTTCTAGGACCTGCCTTGCAGAAGAGGAATTCTGGTTTCTAGGACTCACTTCTGGAGAAAAGGGGGATGAGAGACAGGAGGGCCAGAGAAGGTCAGAGAGAACTTGCTTTTGAGGCTGTTCCAATGTCCTTCAATTTAAAGTACTCACAGCTGGGCATGGTGGCTCACCTTGTTATCCCAGCATTTTGGGAGGCAGAGGCGAGAGAATTGCCTGACTCCTTGGGTTTGAGACCAGCCTGGGCAACATGGCAAGACCTTGTCTCTACAATAAATCAGAAAATTAGCCAGGCATGGTGGCACATGCCTGTAGTTCCAGCCATTTGGAAGGCTGAGGAGGAAGGATCACTTGAGCCCAGCAGGTCAAGGCTGCAGTGGTCGTGAGTGTGCTACTGCACTCCAGGACTCCAGCCCGGGTAACAGAGACTCTGACTCAAAAAAAAAAAAAAAAAATGTACTCACCACACCAAGCACCACATGTTGGGTCTCTTGTTCTATCTCCCTTGAAATATTTCAAGTAAACGCTCTTTTCTGGGTCAACCTACCTCCAAATTAGAACCAAGTGGAGCAGGGGTCAGCCAACGAATGCTTGCAGGCCAAGTCCAGCCTGCTGCCTGTTTTGGTAAATGGAGCTTCACTGGAACACGGCCATGACCATTTGTTTACTCGCTGTTTCTGGCTGCTTTGGGGCTGCAACAAGAGGCGAGGAATTGCAACAGAAACCGTATGGCGGGCAAAGTTTAAAACATTGGCTATTTGACCCGTTATAGAGCAAGTTTGCCAACCCCTGATTTAGAGGAAGACCAGAACATGTGAACTTCTGGGGCACTTATGGAGGCTCCATGACAACCAAGCAGAGATTGAAAGCATCAGGCTTACATGAGTGCTCACATTGAAGCATTGCGTTGCTGGGCTGGCTGCTGCAACATCCTGGGAAGGCACTCTGTCAACGTGACGCAGACAGGATGTGACCGGGCTGAACTGGGAGGCATTGGCGTTTAAATGTGTTTACAGTGTATGATTTCAGAGTCAAATAATTTCCTGAAAAGAATGGCTCTCCCGAAGGTTTTCGCATGTTGCTATCAAAGTGATTTTGTGTGGATCTGTCCTCTTCACCCGACTGCGGGCACCTCTTGGAAAAATCTGGGTTTTATTCAGACCTGTACTTCCCAGTGCCTGGCACGGAGGGACTAAGACTCCACAAATATTATTTGGCCAAATGGTAATTGACCCCTACTTCAGAGGAGAAAAGAAATCGGGGTGGAAGGCATTGACCGGGAAGACGGATGAGGGCACATTTTCCTGTTCTCGCTGATTAGTCTCCACCTGCTTGACCTTCACAAAACAAGAACAACTATAAGAAACGGCTATTCTCCCAGGAAAGATGCCCCCTAGGGAAGACTGGTCACATACTTTCCAGGGCACAGTGCAAAATGAAAATGTGGGGGCCAGGCTCAGTGGCTCAGCCTGTAATCCCAGCACTTTGGGAGGCCGAGATGAGTGAATTGCCTGAGCCTGCGGGTTTGAGACACGCCTGGGCAACTTGGCGAGACCTCAAATCTACAATAAATCAAAAATTAGCTGGGCATGGTAGCGCGTGCCTGTAGTTCTGGCTATTTGGAAGGATGGGGTGGAAGGATTGCTGGAGCCCAGCAGGTCGAGGCTGCAGTGGCCAGGATCGTGCCACTGTACTCCAGTCTGGGCTACAGAGTAAGACTCCAGCTCAAAAAAAAAAAAAGAAAGAAAAGAAAAAAAGAAAATGCGGGGCCTCTTGTTCAGACATTATTAAGGATTTTAGGACAGTGTCAGCAGAGCATCAGACCAACCTAGGGTCCTTCTAACACTGCCCTGAAGCAGTGGATTCCTGAGAAGAGGGCAGCCTATAAGAAACAGGGAGGAGGCCGGGCGCGGTGGCTCAAGCCTGTAATTCCAGCTTTTTGGGAGGCAGAGGTGAGAAGATTGCCTGAGTCCAGGGGTTCGAGACCAACCTGGGCAACTTGGTGAGACCTCATCTCTACAATAAAATAAAAAAATTAGCCAGGCATGGTAACATGTGCCTGTAGTTATGGCTACTTAGAAGGCTGGGGTGGAAGGATGGCTGTGAGCATGCTACTGCACTCCAGCCTGGGTGAAGGAGTGAGACTCCGACTCAAAAAAAAACCCCAAAAAAACCCAAAAACAGGGAGGATGTGTTCAAGCTAGAGGGACTGTATGGTGCTCGCCACTCCAGGGGCTGTGCAGGCTTTTGGGGTGCTAGGGCTGTGGGCTCTAGGGACTCTGCAGTGACATGTGTCTAAGGAAGACTGAACTGGGTAGCTCTGGGTCACTTCCAGAGCATTTGTGTTGGTGTCAGACCCTCACACCTCCTCTCCAGCCCACACACCTGGTTTCATGACGACTAACCACTTAGACATCGTGGTGTCCCTTCCCACACCTTGTTTTCAGTCTAAACCCAGGTCACTAGGCCACCTCATCTAGGGGCAACAAATCACATTTGTACTAAAGCATCTCATGGCTGGCTTGTTTAGATGTTTCTCTTGGGGGATGACAGTTTCTGCCACAATACCAGGCTGGAGAACAATGTGTATACATGAATGGTCCCTTTAACCTGTCCCCAGAACCCTCCCCTGCCCCCTTCCTCACCATAAGAGGGGGTCTAGGGGCCCAGACTAACTGCTGCTGAAGACCCTGTGCTCTGACACTGAAGCCTTTCCTGGCGCTGGATAGTCACCCCGCCAGCCCCTGGAACTTCTCCCTGCCCCAGCCTTTCCTCCCCACTCTTGAGCCCTCCTCTCCCCTGGGAAGAGCAGAGAACCTCCCGAAGGTATCCAGGTGGCAGGCAGTTGTAGGTGGGAACTCTGATCTCTGGCAAGGACTCCCTGAATCGTGCCCCCTCTTGACTGGAAGGTTCTGTGTTTGTTTCTTCTAGGCCACTGCCTCTCCCAACTTCATCCACTCATCCTTGCTGCAAAAGGAGGGAGAGGGAGTTATCTCCAACCTCTCTGCTCATGGAAGCACCTTGTATCCCTGTTAACAGGTGGTGGCTCCTTACAGTGCTAGAAAGTCACCCTCCCCAGCCCTGGTGGTGACAGCTCTAGGGACCTCGCCCTGCATGTGCCTGGTCCCAGCAGCCAGGTGGCACTGCCCTTCTTCCCTGGGTTGAGGAAGATAACCAAGTGCCCAGAGCTCCCCCTCCATCCCCCAAGACAAGTCTCCAGCGTGCTGTGAACACTTAACTGGCCCGCAGGGAGGCACATATTCCCAAAACTCTAAGCTTTGAGAAATGGAAGGTGATAGGGGAAGTTTTCTTCCCAGTGGGTAGCGGCATCATGTCATCTAAAAACCACAGTCAAGGGAGAGCCTGACAGGGTCAAGCGGAGTTTGCCTTTGATCAGAACTGCGGAGTCAGTCAGTCCCCGGGGCTTTTGCGATCTTGTGCTTAACCTGGGGTTGGGCTGTCTCAGGTCTCATTCATCTCTCTGTGACGGATGTGGCCTTCATGACAGCAGCGCCGAACGAGCTCCCTACTGCCCGTGTGCATGTGTATGCATTGCTGACTGCGGAAGCAGCCATGCCCCCTCTGACACTCTGTGTCCTTCCTATCCCTGTCAAGTTCCTGGTTCCTTACATACCACCTGTATTTTCTGTCTCTTCCAGGGTCCCCGGCGGCATATAGATCTTCAGCCTTGGGCCGGCCCTGCTCAGTCCCTGGATGAAGAAGCCTTGAGGTTCCTGAGCTATATCAGCACCACCCAGGTTGTGTTTCAGGCTCAAATGGGTTTGAGAATAACGTAAAAGCACCGGATTGCCCTCTTTGAGAGAAGGCTTTGTCAGCGAGGAGGCAGGGAGGTTCTCAGTGACTCCTGATGGGAACCTATCTAGGTAGAGATATGTTTTCTGAGGCATCCCTGCTTCAGCTCATCCACTTACTTGGAGGCAGATAAGATGCCTACCCTTTGCTGGGGCATCTTCTTCCTTCCAGGAGTCTCCACCATCTGAAACGTTTTGATGACTCATCCCCGAGTGTTTTAAGGATCCACTTTAGAAGACTGCTTTGGAGGACCATTTGAAGCGACAGATGGGACCCTGTGAGTGGGCAGCTGCGTGGGGCACAAAACAAAACCATCATCTGGAGGTGTGAGCTCTGTTTTTGCATGCCGAGCCATTTGCCTTTTCGCTCTTGAGCCCCAGATGCTGGGCAGCCCGGGCTGCTCAGGGGAAGCGAGCAGAGGAGACTTTGCAGGCAGTGCATGAAGTCAATGAATCCCAGGGCTCTCTGTCCTTGGAGCACTTGGAATCAGGACTGAGCGCTGGCCTTTATTAGTGACTTAACATGTTGTGGCAACTCCTGCCCAGATCAAGCCTGAGCCCGTGCCGGGAGCAGGAGAAGAGACCGTCCATTAAGGAGAGTCCATGGCTCTTGACACATTAATCAGGAGGGGAAAGACGCATAAGAGGAAATCCAGGCCCCAGGGAAACTTGGCCCTGAACTGAGAGGCGCTAGTGAATTAGGAGCTCAGCCTGCCTGTGAGCAGAGCAGGGGTTTATTCAGGAAGCTGTGGGGGAAAGCCTGGCTGCATGGGGGTGGGGAGGCGGGTCCTGGATTCTTTTTTATCTCCCTCCAGCCCACTGGCTGTTGGCATCCCACTTCTCCCCCCAAGTTCCAGCTGGCAGCAAAGCCCACCTTTCATCCGTGGGAGAGAATGCATTTCTAGAATCTTAGGAGGCTAGTTCAGGGGTAAAAGAAAGTCCCATTTCTCATAGGATGCAGTTGGATGATCACAGGGATTTTAATAATTGTCACCCAAACATGGAAGTGAAAGCTTGTGACTTAATCATGAGTGACGGGAGGATGAATTGGTTCCTGTGTGCTACATAATTTTATCTTATTTTTCTGCTGCAAATTAATTTGGTGGGCTTATATAGACTTAATTAAAATACTGAAATTTTAATTTTACAGTTTGGTTTTACATGAAGGATAAGAATCTGGACCTTTTAAGTGTGACTTTAAAAAGCTCCTAAAGGTCCCAGAGAAAGACAAGAGCTGATCAGTTTCTGAATTGAATTTGAGAACTACGAGTTTCACTCCTGAAAATAAACTTACCGACTGTAAGCCTACAAATTCCATTTTCTATGTATTTCACGTCAATGCTCTGTAACTTATAGAAGGCATATTTACTTAGAAGAAGCTCATGAAGAGGGGTCATTTCAGACCCCTCTTGAACCTTTCCCAGGAACAATAAGCTGAGAGAAGAAAAGTTATTTAAAAAAAAAATGAAACATCCTACGATGGGATATATAGTCTGATGTTGTAAACTTGCTTCTCTTCTGACTCTTGTTATTCTGATCCTGAAATGGAAGAGATTGTATCAGATCATATCTAAGGTATCTCCCAGTTCTGTGAGCTTGTACTGTGTCCAAAGTAGTATTAAGTGTTTTTAACCAAGTGTTAACGTGCCAGGAAACTGTGTTAAGCCATAGAGATATAGTTTGTGCTTTCAAGGATCTAAAAATTGTGAAGACAGATAAATGGATGTACGATTATTATTCAGCTTGATGAGTGCAATAGGAAATTGACTGATGAAGTTGATTAGAAGGACTTTGGTCCTCCAGAAAAAGTGAAATAAAGTTCCAGACTTCACGATGGTATTGTGATCTGGGGCCATTTTAGCCAGATAGGTATTGTGCTTTGATGTACTTCCAGGTTCCTAGGAGGTCAGCAGATGGGAGCCATCAGAGATGACACTAAGTGGCTCTTAATCAGAATCTTTCACTCACAGATGCTCTTTCCCCTATGTATTATTACATAGAGAGCTTTTGGGTTGCTTTTGTGGCGTATACCTCATTTAGAACTCACCTTGACAACGAAAGCCTGCAGAAGCTGGCAGAGTATTAGAGTCACTGCTGCCTGAAATTTTCAGTTAGCAGAAGTGAGTCAAAATGGAAAAAAAAAAAACCTTCGAAGGTACTAAGAAGAATTCCACCCCCATCCTCTTATGCTGTTAAAAAAATTTTTTTTTCATTTCCTTCAAGTCTATGTTCAGGCTCGTATGGCAAGGCCCAGCATTCACTATGGTCAATGTTGATTTATTCATTTCTCAACTCAGCAGGTACTTGTTGAGCATCTGTTTTGTGGCTGGCATTGTGCTGGGCACTGCGATATCAGACCTGAATAAAACACATACACGTTGGTGAACAGCTAGTGTTAGGAGGGTAGACGGGGTGAGCAGTTGGATGGAGAAGACAGCATCAGACAGCAATGGGCATGGTGCCCCTGGATGTGTGCACTGAGGGGACCCTGGAGGCGTGATTTGGGCCGTGCATTTTTAATGGAATTCCAGAGGATGTGGTATTTGGATAGAGTATACAGGCCATCAAGCTCAGTTTAATTAAGTACTATTGTTTTTTTCCCCTAATGTAAAAGATCATGATACAGGTCAGAGGTCTGCAGTCAATGATGATGATGATACATTGTCTGCTGCTAACAAGAAATGGTTAAATCATAAACACAGTGCTCTGTTCTTAGGGAGGCTCCAGATCCAGCTTTTTTATGGCAACCCCCAAACCATATGCCTCCAGGAAGCATGCCTTAGTACAGAATTAATCTAAGCAACAGTGACTGTATTATAAAAAAGAAAAGATATGTTGTTTTTTTTTGAGTTGGAGTCTCACTCGGTCACCCAGACTGGAGTGCAGTGGCCGCTCCCGGCCACCGCTGCCTCGACCTGCTGGGCTCCGGCGATCCTTCCACCTCAGCCTTCCAAGTAGCCAGAATTACAGGTGTGCGCTACCACGCCTGGCTGATTTTTCTTTTTTTTTTTTTGATTTTATTGTAGACATGAGGTCTCGCCTGCCCAGGCGGGTCTCGAACCCACGGGCTCAGGAAATCCACTCACTTCAGCCTCCCAAAGGCACGGGATTACAGGCTGAGCCACTGAGCCCAGCTGAAAAAATATGTTTTAAAGTCTATCTTTTTCTGTTTGTCTGTTCATTTATCATCTATCTTTCTATCTATCTATCTATCTATCTATCTATCTATCTATCTATCTATCTATTCATCCATCTATCCATCCATCTACTACTTAGTTATCTACCCATTTATCTACTTGTAAGAATAACCTAAGAACTCAATCTCTGGAGATTTGGGCTATAACTTTACAACAGTAGTGTCTCTTATATTACCTGCTACACACACGCGCGCGCGCACACACACACACACCATAAAAGCAATAAAAATACAAATTTTCTCTTAAACCTTTAAAAATTAGTGGTCCTGTATAAACATATAGTTGATCATTGAAGTGATCATTGCCAAAAGTTACAAAATTTTAAGGGTTCCCTTTGCCAGATACGACTTCAGGATTGGCAGGAATAGTACTTGAGCTTTTGGGATACAAATTGAAATGAAAATAAATTAGGTCCCTTTCAGTTAAATAACTAAAAAAATTTCAGAAAATATTTTTTTCCCTGGAGTCTATTTTCCTTTGTCTAGGCCCCTCTTGTTCTATGTGGTTAAATTACAAGGAGAATTAGAGAAAACGATGAGCTGAATTGGAGCTTAAGTAGAAGTTACTGCTTTCACCTAAGTTGCTTACAAGAGAGTTTATTGAAGCCCTGGCCATAAATCTTAACTAGAAAGTTTGAAAATCAATATTTAATTAACTTTTAGGAGCAGAATTTTATGGAGGAGTTTTAGGTGTTTTCAAAAGCTAATGTCTATCAATGAGATGGTTAGTAAATGGTTAAAATGGAGTAATTCTTGTGTTTTATTTTTGAGCTGAGAGGAAGGCAGAATGTTATCAAAAGGGATTGAATGTCTTTTCAATAAGGATATATCTGTGCAAGATGAAATCTGCAGAATAAGACAAAATGGTTGAAGTAGACTAAATGTCGTGTGTGTGTGTGTGTGTGTGTGTGTGTGTGTGTGTGTGTGTGTGTGTGTTGGAGTCTCACTCTGTTGCCCAGACTGGAGTGCAGTGGCACTCTCCTGGCCACTACAGCCTCAACTTGCTGGGCTCCAGTGATCCTTCTGCCTCAACCTTCTAAGTAGCCGGAACTACAGGCGCGTGCTACCACACCCAGCTAATTTTTGATTTAATGTAGACACAAGGTCTCTCCAAGTTCCCCGGGTGGGTCTTGAACCTGCAGGCTCAGGCAGTCCACTCTCCTCAGCCTCCCAAAGGGCTGGGATTACAGGCTGAGCAGCTGAGTCCAGCCTAAATGTCATCTTTAATAGAATAAAACCCTAATTCTTGACTTTACCAAAGGGGGATTAGCTGGACCTCAAAACCATGACTCTTCGCCCTTAATACTCAGTTTTGGAGGCCTCTGGATAATTGTTGGTGGCAGTCCCTTTGGTCCTTTGTCAGGGGTGGGGTCAGAAGGGCTGTTGTTTTCAGTTCAAAGTTCTGGCCCAAGTATAACCTCTTCTCTTAATTTGCTAAGGCACAGGTGTGACCAGACTGGAATATTTTGCTGAGGCTTTACAAAAGGCCTCCAGTAAACTAACAGGGTCAGGGGAGCTTACTAAAATGTATGTTCCCAGGTGTCAGCCTCAAAGATTCTGATTTTACGGACTAGAGTGAGACTCGGGAACCTGTATTTTAAGTTACCCCCCCCATAACAGATAATTCTGGTAAGTGGATCACACCTTGAGAAACACTGTGGAAAAGGCTAGAGTTAGGTTTTGATAGTGTTATAAGTGACTGAGGAGCCAGGACCTGTGGTCACCAATATCCTGATCTATCATTATGGAGGTTCTTAGCAAGAGGTGCACACCAACAGCAATAGCACATGGGAATCACCATGCCACTTTAATAAAAACACCCCAGGAAGCTGCCCTGGGGCAAATGGCTCAGGCTTGTGAGGGCCAGACATGCTTTGGGGGCCCACAGAACTGCCCTGGATTAGCTAACTTCCTGTGGAGGCGGGGCTGAGGAAAGTGTGGATGTCTTACGCATTGTGATCAGCCCACTAGTAGAACAGGGCCTGAGAACACACCGCACTCTGACTAATTAGACAAGCAACTTCTCTTCTCTTTGGTGGGTAGGTAGGGAATGGGAGGTGGATAGGCAGAGATATAATTTCCACTAATCTGTAGGAGAATCATAGGAGATGAATTAGCAAATTAACATGTTGATGCACGCAGTTAATGAATGTATTCTATAGTGTTTGCTTGAGAAAAGATTCATTCTGTTTTCTATCATTTTTTTCTTTAAACAATGGCTGGAGATAGAGAAGTAGAAAGGTACTGTGTTGAAAGAAAATAATGTTTTGGTCTTGTGCTTTCTCAGCCTTCCTCTGAGATCCAAATTCTAGCAGAAGGTCTCTCACAGTCACTAAGTAGCGCTAGGATGATCTTGTCAGGCCAGCCAGAGGTTACTGCAAGTCGAGTGCACATGCTGTGTTGGCTAAATAAGCTCCACGTAATACACTCTTCTTAGATTAAAATTTTGGAAAATCGGCCAGGTGTGGTGGCTCACGCCTGTAATCCCAGCACTTTGGGAGGCTGAGGCAAGAGGATTGCCTGAGCCTACGGATTCGAGACCAACCTGGGCAACATGGTGAGACCCCGTCTCTACAATAAATAAAAAAATTGTCTGGGTGTAGTGGTACATGCTGTAGTTCCAGCTACTTGGGAGGCTGAGGTGGAAGGATCATCTGAGTCCAGCAGGTTGAGGTTGCAGTGGCCGGGAATGTGCCATTGCACTCCAGCCTGGATGACAGAGTGAGACTCCAATTCCAAACAAATAAAAAATAAGTAAAATAAAATTTTGGAAAATCAGTTAAATAAAGGATTGAGCAAGACTAGAGTATCTTCTTAAGAGAAAAATTGCTTGCTGTTATGTTTTCCAATGGATGAAAGCAGTGAGCCTTAGAACAGTCTTTGCATCTGGAGTGCTCTGTGGTAGCAAGAGCTACTGCATTCACGGGGCATCATGATGACGGTGAGAGTTTTGAGGGATTGGGGGAAAATACGATTGCTTGGTAAGGTAAATATCTTAGCCACAGAATTTATTTTCTTTGGTTCTGACAGCTTCAGCTGTGCTCAATGTACCCGCCTCAAACACAGATCAGAATCCCTTATGAAGTATCTTCACTTAATGTGCAGTTGAAATTAGAGACTTGTTTCTGCTTGACTTAGAGACACATTCCCTTTGGTTTTCTTATCTAATTTTGATGGATGAGTTCAGAGAAGTGCTTCGGTTAGCTCAGGAAGAACCTCCTGCCTGGGGTCTTGCTCTTCCTCCTCAGGAGGAAGCTCATTAGAGCAGTCTATCACAAAGGATCCTGTCTTACCAGCAGGGACTGCCTGTTAATTTCACTTGACCCATGATCAGCGGTTTACCTTGGCTAACACCTGCTACCTGCAACCCGCTTTCTCTGCCTAAAATAAGGGATACATACACGTGTGAATGTCCCTCTGAGATTTATGCCTATGGTTGAATCTCACATCCTGGAGCAGGGACATTGTGGCCTCTCTGCTATGTGCCCATACTCTCTGTGTCTGGAATGCCCTTCTTGGTCTGAGTTTCTCAGTCAACTTCTGTCCATCTTCCAGGAAGAACACACGTCTGCAAAACCTTCCTGAGCCTCCTCTCTTCCCGCCTGGTTCATTCTCTCCCTGTGCACGTGGTTGTCGTGGCTCTCACTCCCCTTTGCACCTGCATCTAGTCTCCCTGAGGTTGCTTGTTATCTGGGAACTGAAATTCCTCCAAACACTTCAGAGCAGTCTTGCGGTTCCCTGGGGAGGGGAGTGGTTAGCAGTGGAGACGGATATAACTCTTCTATTACAGTTTGCAGGGCCTAGGGAAGCAGAAAGTCTCTACCTGCCATTTATCATCCAGTGCTTTAAATTATTCACATTGATTTCCAATCTGTGCAGATCGCTTGCAAGCGCATGAACACAGACGGTCTGGCCCCCAACTCCAGCCCTGCACGGAAGCCCTGGTCTGTGTGTCTTGATGACAGGTTCGGCTTAACTCGTCAAATCCACAACAAGCAGTGCCGCCTCTACTCCTTAGGGTGAGTGCCTTTTTTTTTTTTTTTTACAGCAGGAGAAAACACCAGCATTCCTCCAGGTGGCCCAGGCCTTTCCAGCGACAGGAAGTGAGGAAGGGCTGCTGTGTGCCACCGAGCCTTGACTGGGCTGCCTGCTGTTGTTTGGACTGATCCGTTTGTCATGTGATTGTGCGCATGTGCAGGTCATCGAGGTCTCCTTGGTCCGCCCAGTCCTATATTAGTAAACAGGTAGTTTCAGTTCTCAGCATGAGGATGGCCCTTTTGGTGAGACCAATGATTTCCAGCTAGATGAGGCACATCCATAGTATAAGGAGTGAGAAGAGGCCAGGTGTGGTGGCTCCCACCTCTAATTTCAGCACTTTGGGAGGCCAAGGTGGGAGGATTGCTGGAGCCCAGGAGTTCAAGATCAGCCTGGACAATAGAGTGAGACCTCATCTCTTTTATTTTATTTTACCTTATTTTTATTTTATCTGTTAGTCAGAGTCTCACTCTCTCCCAGGCTGGAGTGCAGTGGCACAATCATGGCTACTGCAGCTTCCATCTGCTGGGTTTGGGTGATCTTCTGCCTCAACCTTTCAAGTAGCTGAGACTACTTGAGCTACTTCCAGTAGCTGAGACTACTTCAGGCAATCCTCTCATCTCGGCCTCCCAAGGTGTTGGGATTACAGGTGTGAGCCATCAGACCTGGTCTTATTATATAATTTTTAAAATCAAATTTAAAAAAGAGTGAGAAGAACATTAATGAGTGAAGCTAGAAAAAAAAAGTATGTTGGAAATTTTATGCATAGTTATGATGAGTGACCCAGAACAAATAATAGCCACTGTTGGAGTTTTATATTTTTTACATCTATGTATAATTTTACATTTTAAAAAGAGAAAGAAAAGGAAACTCTTATGAAAACCATGTGATTTTGTCAAAACCATTTGGGAAAAAAGTTGATATTCAGTTATTTCAGGTTAAAAATAACCTAGATGTATAAATGGATTAAGAGAGCTTTTTGGAAAAGGATGACTATTTCCCCCAATATACTAGTACTTACATAAGCAGTCCTGAACTTACAAATGATATATGTCTCAAAAAAGAAAAAAAAGCAGTAGGATTTTTTTTTTTTTTTTGGAACATGCTGTTGCATAGACTCTTTGTTGGAGCAATGTAGGTTCTCAGGCTAGACCACTGAAATCTTTCATAAACAGTACTGGGGACCACATTGAGAGTCACAAGCTTGTTCCTCACCTGTGGGTTTCATCACCTCTACAATCTACCTTCAGGCCCAGGGATGACAGCCTCCAGCCAGAATCCTAGGTGGTCAGGGCTAGGAGCAGACATCTGGGTGATGTGGCGACCTACCTAAAGATACCAGTGTGGAGAGGGCCACCATTTCTATCAAGCTGTAACAAACAAGACTTGCTAGTCATTGTGGATTTGTTTTTAAACAAAAGGTTTTGTTACGACCCCATCAATCACTTGGCTGCTATCTCTCATGGTCAATCAAAGAGAGAGAGGCAGAAGCTAGGAGAAAATGGGCATTTATTCTGAAAACTGGAAGTCAGGGAACACGTTCAGATATTTACTAAAACACATGTTCACCAAGGCAAATTTTACATTCAGCATTTATAGCTAAAACAGACAATGTCTTATCTATTTCTACTATTGATTAGCGGTGTCTATGTATATCATGACCATACCCAGAGTTCCTTTTTAATCAGCGTTTAGTCCTTTCGGCACCTATTGGTATAAACCAGTATCTAGATTACATTAGTCTTTTATTTTATTTTTTTAAAACAATCCTGACAGCCTTTTCTATTTAGCTATAATAGCAGGTTCTGGTTCACATATGAACTAACTAATGATTACATAAGACATAAACTGAATACCACAAAAGAGATTTACATTTAAAGTGATGAGTGCTTTAAGGGTTTCGAGGAGTTTCCATTGAGTCCCTTATCTCTTAAAGGTCTTTTCGAAGACATAATTTTTTCATTTCTCAGGCAGCTGTTTTCTCCAGCACCAGCTTGCTAGATAAATTGGCCTTCCAAACCAGTGTGCAAGGCCATGCTAGCACAAAAGAAGGGGCGTTACATTCCGAGGGCAGTGAAGGAGGAGGGGGAAGAAGAAGAAGAAAAAAATGTGTACTTTAAGTTCAATGGCTTACGTTCAACTTGGTCTCAACTATGAAAATAAGCCTTTTTAAAATTTTTATTTTGGTTATTTTAAATAACCAAAATGGTCACTTCTTAGCCTGTTAGTTTGAGAGGGATTTTAAATATGGGAAACACTCTCATATGGGTCCAATGAAGGGTAATGGGACATTTTGGTAGAGCTGGGCACACAGTAGGCACATAGTAGGTATTTGCCATGCGAAGGGCCGCTTGAGAGGAGAGACTAGGAGGAAAAGCTGGTCGGCTGTGGCGTCAGGGTGGAGGCTGTGGATTCGGAGATGAGAGGCTCAAGCCAGTGTGTGGGAATAGAGTCCACCAGCTATACTTTGAGGTTGGAGGAAGGATAGAGCGTTGTGGCAGCAGAGTTTTTGTTGCCACATTAAAAATGTATGAAAGTAGGTCATAAAAATGATTGCACAGTGCCACATGCAAGTTGGTCCTATTTTCTTGCTCCAAACTGCCTTTATATTTTATACCCTGGGATCATTTCATTTAAAGCATATAACTTAGTAAGATGAAACTTGGAGAGGTGTTTTCAGGGAACATTTTAAAGATCCTTTTTGTTTTCCTTATATTTAAGAGCTGTTAGGTAAGATAGTTCTGTAGTAAGAGTTCAGATTATTGCGTGTAAAAAAGATAGTTTTATATTTTTAAAATTTTTATTGACATAATATTTGTACATATTCAAGGGGTACGTGTGGTCTTTTGTTACATACATAGTCAGGGTGTTTAGGTTATCTATCACCTCAAGCACTTATCATTTTTATGTGTTGGGAACATTTCAAGTCCTCTTTTCTAGCTATTTTGAAATATAAAATTCATTGTTGTTAACTACAATCATCCTTCCCTGCTATCAAACATTAGAACTTTTATTCCTTCTATCTCAGCAGTCCCCAACCATTTTGGCATCAGGGACTGGTTTTGTGGAAGACAATTCTTCCATGAACGGGAGTGAGGGGCTGATTTCAGGATGATTCAAGTACATTACATTTATTGTGCACTTTATTTCTATTATTATTACATTGTGATACATAATGAAATAATTATACAACTCACCATAATGCAGAATCAGTGGGAGCCCTGATCTTGTTTTCCTGCAACTAGACGTTTCCATCTGGGAGTGATGGGAGACAGTGCTAGCATCACCACCTCAGCTCCACCTCATATCATCAGGTATTAGATTCTCACAAGGGACGTGCACCCTAGATCCTTTGCATGCGCAGCTCACAGTAGGGTTCAAGCTCCTATGAGAATCTAATGCCATCACTGATCTGACAGGTGGTAATGCAAGTGGTGGGAACGACTGTAAATACAGATGAAGCTTTGCTTTCTCGCCTGCAGCTCACCTCCTGCTGTGTGGCTCAGTTCCTGCAGCTCACCTCCTGCTGTGTGGCTCAGTACTGGTCTGTGGCCCAGGGGTTGGGGACCTGTATTCTACCTAACTGTATGAGTGTACCCACTAACCAACCCTTCTTCACTCCCCACCCCTACACCCTTCCCAGCTTCTGGTAACCACCATTCTACTCTCTATGAGATGAACTTTTTAGCTTTGACACATGAGTGAGGTCATGCAATATTTGTCTTTCTGTGCCTAGCTTCTTTCACTTAACACAATGACCTCCAGTTCCAATTATGTTGCTGCAAATGACAGGATTTTATTCCTTTTTATGACCAAATAATATTGTGCGTGTATACCACATTTTTAAAACCCATTCATCCAATGATGGACACTTAGGTTGATTTTAATCTTAGCTATTATGAATAGTGCTGCAATAAACATGGGGGTGCAGGTATCCCTATGATAAACTGATTTCTTTTCCTTTGGATAAATACCCAGCGGTGGGCTTGCTGGATCGTATGGTAGTTTCATTTTCAGTTTTTTGAGACATCTCCATATTGTTTTCCATAATGACTCTACTGGTTTACATTCTCAACAACAATGTATAAAAGTTCTCTTTTCTCGGCATCCTTGCAAGCATCTGTTATCTATTTATTTATTTTTGTCTATTTGGTAACAGCCATTCTAACTGGAGTGAGATGGTACTTCACTGAGGTTTTGATTCACATTTCCCTCTTGATTACTGATGCTGAGCAATAATATAACTGTTCAAAACAAAAGTAGACAGTTGGGACTGTATTGAACTAAAAAGCTTCTGCACAGCAGAGGAAACAATCAACAGTGTGAAGAGACAAACTGTAGAATGGGAAAAAATATTTGCTAACTATTCATCTGACAAGGGACTAATATCCAGAATATACAAGAAACTCAACAGCAGAAAAACAAATAATCCCATTAAATCCTATTAGAAAGTGGGTAAAGGCATGAATAGAGATTTCTCAAAGGATGTTTCTTATTTTCACGTAATTGTTTCCACTGAAAATCAACTTTGTAAATAGCAGATAAGAACATCTGAATTCCATTGGGAAAAGAAATGAGTAGATTATAAGGGCCAATATTTGATTAAAACCATAAAAGTGCTTAATTGAAAACTGAAACTAAAGAAAATGTTTCTGATGCCTAAAAAAAGGATGCTTTGGATTGTGGATGATTATGTTGATTCACTGTTACTAAGGCTCCAGGACCCAGATGAGCATCCCCTTCTTGCTCAGGTGAGTTGCTTGCCTAGGGGACAAGTCCATAGCTGGCTGACAAAATTTTTTTTTTTTTTGAGTTGGAGTCTCACTCTGTCGCCCAGACTGGAGTGCAGTGGCCGCTCCCGGCCACCCCAGCCTCGACCTGCTGAGCTCCAGCGATCCTTCCGCCTCAGCCTTCCAAGTAGCCAGAATTACAGGCATGCGCTACCACGTCTGGCTGATTTTTTGATTTATTGTAGAGATGAGGT